AGCCTGGCCAACATGGCAAAATCCTGTCTCTTCTAAAAATACAAAAAATTAGCTGGCCATGCTGGCACACACCTGTAATCCCAGCTACTCAGGAGGCTGAGGCACGAGAATTGCTTGAACCCAGGAGGGGAGGTTGCAATAAGCTGAGCTCATGCCACTGCACTCCAGCCTGGGCGACAGAGTTAGACTCTGTCTCAAACAAACAAATAAACAAAACCCAAACCAACACAATGGTCTGGGACTTTGGGAATGGGAGGGTGCTACTTGTCGTAGCCAGGGATAGTTGTGGCTGTTTCCCATTTTAAGGTTAGTTTCTCTGCATGGAGGGAGGTGTCATGCCATTGACCAGGGTGATCCCAATTCAGAGGAGTCCAGCTTGGCCTAGAGGCACCCCACTCTTGTCTGCCTGAGGAAGGGTCATCCCTCTGGTTGGTTCTGAACTCAGCATCCAGAGGCTCAGGGAAGGAAGTAAGACTCTCAGCCAAATATGCTATTATTTTATCAACACGGTGACTCCAAGACTTGAACTGATCTGGAAGCTATGGAGAGAGAGAAAGAGGAAGGTAGGTAGAGAGAGGTGAACCAGGCAGGAGCAGACAGCCAGGGTGGGAAGAGCAGAGACTGCAAGGAGAGAAAGTGACCAGGGTGGGAAGAAGCAGAGAAGGAAGGGCAGGGAGAAAGATGAGAAGGGGTGGGAAGCAGGTAGACAGTGAAAGAAACCAGCAAGGGCCAGGTGCAGTGGCTCACTCCTGTAATCCCAGCACTTGGGGAGGCTGAGGCAGGTGGATCACTTGAGGTCAAGAGTTAGGGACCAGCCTGGCCAACACGGGGAAACCTTGTCTCAATTACAAATACAAAAATTAGCTGGACATGGTGGTGTGTGCCTGTAGTCCCAGCTACTCGGGAAGCTGAGGCTGGAGAACCGCTTGAACCCGGAAGGTGAAGGTTGCAAGACTGCAGTGAGCTGAGATCGTGCCACTGCACTCCCACTGGGCAAGACTCTGTCTCAAAAGAAAGAAATCAGCAAGAAGAGAGCAACAGGGAAGGAAGGGAAGGTGGGGAAGGTGGGGAAGGTGGGAGTGGAGCTGCTGTTGAAGGAAGCTTCCTCAGGTCCCTGCCCGCGGCCTCCCTCTCCTGCGTGCCTGTGTGTGCACTCAGAACACCGACGCATACACATACAAGGACACAGGTTTTCGCAAAAGTGCACACGTATGCACTGACACCCACCCCCTCAGGCACTGCTCACAGAATCCGCACTGCTGGGTGTGTAGGTGTTGCCACTGTGACTGGTGCTGGAGCACCACCTTGTGGGTATTAATAGTTTCCCCTGAAGCCATCAAAACAGAGACTTCATCAGCCCCAGTCTCCCTGGCAGTTTCCTTCTTCCTCTTCCTTTCCAGGATGGGTCTGGGAAGGGTCCTCTGGATCAGAGCTACCACCCAGCCACCCCAACTCCCACTCCCATGTTTCCCAACAGCTGCCTTGGGGAAGGATGGCAGGAAGGCCTCCGGGTTCTGCCCCAGGTCTGGGAATAAGGAGACTGCTGGCCTTCTTCGACCCTCTGAATTGGGTCTACCCTAAGTCCCTGCCAGGGAAAAGTTGCTGGGGCACAGGACCCCTCAGAAGGGCCGCGCTCAACTTCTCTGACTCCTATGCAGCCACACCAACCTCCTCTAGGTCCCTTCCTGGCCAGAGACGTAGTTGACACTAACAGTGGTGTCCCCTCTTCCAGTACAGAGCTCCCTGAAGGACTAGGGTGAGGGTAGAGAGGAGCCTAGTGCATGAAATGTAAGAGGCCCTCATTCCCAGGCTCGTGTAAGTGCAAGGTTGGTATCTGCATGACCTTGACAGTGGGTGCCTCCTTCAATTTTGCGCCAGGGATGCCTTGGCTACCTCATCCTATCCCAGCCCCGTTGATACTCCCATCAGCTCCTCAACCTTTAGTTCCCTGCCTTTGTCCCTGATGCCTCTTACCTTCCTTTGGGACTCCCTGGGATCACGCTGCCCTGAGCTGCAGAACCTGGGCTGCCTCTGGACTCAGATGAGCACAAACCTCTGGCCCTCACTTCCCTCCTTCCCTTTGACCTTCCTTTCTCCCCTGCTTTGCCCATAGCCCCAGGTCTAGGCCATGTGGGGCCTGTGACATCCCTTTGTCAGGCAAGGTAGCTCATGCCTGTAATCCCAGTACTTTCGGAGTCTGAGGCAGGTGGATCACCTGAGGTCAGGAGTTCGAGACATCCCCGCTGTGCTCTGCCTTTGGGGCCTCATCCCCTCCCCCATTCCCCTGCCCACACTGGACTTACCCAGAGCTACCATTTGTAAATCCTAGCAAGGCCCTTGTACTTCACACACACTCCAGCAGAATGAGTCTCAACTATGCAGAGTCCTCCTATTTGTTCTAACTTGTGAAAGGCCTGATCCTAGCTGCCACTCACAGTGACTTCATTCCAGCAGATTTCAGGGGAAATGTAAGTGTGTGTGCTTGTATAGGTGTGAGTGTGTGATAGTGTAGCGGTATGTGAGCGCATGTGTGAGTGTGTTGCCATTCAGAGCCTGTGGATTTCTGATGCATGAGTCATTAGCTGGGAGTGAGCCTTGGGAAGATACTGCCCATAAATAAGACAGCCATCTCTGACCTGCTGTGGCCATCTGCAGCTGCCTGCACACGTGATCCTGGGCATCTGGGAGGCTGGAGGCCGGGGTCGGAGCTGTCTTTCCCTCCAGATTCCAGAGAGAGAGTGGCTGTCACAGATATTTCTAGCTTGCCTGGAGTCCCAGACATTTAAGAGTGTGATGCTTGGAATGGGGATGGAGTGAGGAGAGCAGGAGAGGAAAATAAAGGGTGGTTCAGGAGGCTCTGCTCCCAAGGATCTCAGTGGAGTCTCCTGGCCCGCAGTGGGAAGCATGCATTCCACAATTATTTTCTGAGAATCTGTCATGTGCCAGGCACTCCCCCAGGGGGTAAGGACACTCTGGTGAACATGACTGACCTGTGCTCTCCCCTCACAGAGCTTATGTTCTAGCAGGGAGGCAGAAGATAAACGACGAAAGGCTACTCGTAAGCAAATTACATATAAAAGCTACGAAGAAAATGAAATGGAATATCGTGGAAAGTGACTGAGAGTGGAGGGGTCCTTTAGTTGGGACAGTCAGGGAATGTCAGGACTCGAATTGTACCTAGATAATGAGGAGCCGCCAAATGGAGACTTGGGGGAAGAACCTTCTATTATAGAAAAGGATACATGAGATGTCCCCCTGCCCACCCACGTCTTCACTGGACTCTGGATCAGAGTTGCTGAAGCCAGATCAGGGAGCTAGAGATGACTCAGAGGAGCAGGAAGGCTGATTCCCTGGGGGGAACCTTGGAACGTCTTCCATCCCTGATAGACCAGGAGAGATGCCCCAGGTCCAGGTAGGAGAAGAATGGCTTCCGTTTCGCTTCCTGCAGGCTTCTTGGTGCAGTGCTGAGCTACAGGAAGGCACTAGCCACATGAGTAGGGCACTTGCTGAAACCCCCTTCCTCCAGGAAGCCTTCTTTGACTGCCATAGGTCGCACAGGCTCCTCTCTCCCACCTTGTTATAGCTAACAGAACCACTCAGTTCAGAGCTGGTGGTCTTCTGATGCTGTCCCGGAGATCTCTTCCCTCAGCTTGGCCAGAGCTCCAGGCTTGTGGGTCTGGTTCGTGGGCATTTAAAGGCCCTCAGTGGCACCTATGCATCAGTGAGACTGCTCGGGGTTCCGGCTCTGAACCCTTGCCCTAGCGCCCCTACCCTGGCTGAGAACGGAGAGGTCAAGTGCCAGGGTCCGAATCTCAATTACTTTATCCAAGCATCCTCTCGTCCATTTACGTGTTTCCCTGGGCTCTCTACTCTGCGCCAGGCCCGGTACCTGGAGCTAGGGAAACCGAACATGAGCGCTGGCTCGCCCGCACCCGCATCGGGGGAGCTCGGCGTTCTCGCGGCCCTGCTCCCCTTGTTTTCAAGTGCAAGTTCCATGGTTCCGTGCTGGGAATAAGGCCAGCCCCGGAGGCCACCATCCTCGCCTGATGTCTTACCCGGACCCGCGCCGCCGAGAGCTTGCGGCTACGGGAACGCGGCGCGCCCCGGGGTCACATCTGGCCTAGCGGGCGCGCGCGTGTCACTAAGACGCTCATTCACCGGCGCAGCTGTCACCATAACAACCGGAGCGAGGGAATCCTGGCGACTGCCGGGGCGGGGGGCGGGGGCGGCGGTCGCAGGAGGGACCCGGCGCGGGCGGGACCGCGGCGGTCGGGGGACACCAGCCGCGTCGGGAGCGCCCAGCACGCCCCGCGCTCCGCCGAGCCCCGCTCCATGCAGACCCGCGGGCGGGAGGGAGCCAAGCACATCGCCGCCGCGGCCGTCCCCGCGGGGCGGTGACCGAGCCTGCCTCGGAGCCGCCGAACGCCCACGCCGGGGGCCCTGACTCTATGGCCCGGGGGGAGCGCGCCGGAGCCGCCGCGCCGCCCACCCCCAGCCGGAACCCGAGCGTCCCGGGGAGCAAGCGGGGAGCCCCGGGCGCCCCCGGCCCCGGCCCAGGGCCCTGCTTGTGGCCCCCGCTTCCGCCACGGGGCATGGGAGGCAGGTAGCCCCGCTCGCGCCAGGACACCCGCGGCGGGCGGGACCCGCCAAGGACCCCGAAGTCCCGAGAAAGGAAGCAGAGAAGAGGCCCGCCCGCCCCCGGCCGCAGCCCCAGCAGGGCCCTCCCCCGGCGGCGCGCACCCGCGCGCGCACACTCGCACACCGCACCTCCACTCCTGCCCGGCCTCGCCCCCACCAGCGAGCGCCGAACCCCCTGGGGCCGGATGCCATGGGTAACAACTTCTCCAGTATCCCCTCGCTGCCCCGAGGAAACCCGAGCCGCGCGCCGCGGGGCCACCCCCAGAACCTCAAAGGTAGGCTCCCGGCCGGGCGCAGCTGGAGGACTGGGGCGCAGGTGGAGGGCGAGGGAGGTGTGGTTGGGGAGGACGGACAGACGCCACCTGTTGTGCGGGTCTGGAGGCCGGAGATGCACCTCTGCCTGTGGAGTGGGCTGGGGGTGTAGGGCAGCCGGCGATGATGGTGATGGAGGATGGCGTCCCGCGGGGTCTGCGCAGTTCTGTCTGCTGGCACTGGGAACGTCAGTGGAGTGCCCTTAGGCCATGGTGTTAGGCGAGCCTGAAGAAGTGGGAAAGGACGTTTGCCAGGTCAATAGCGAAGTGAGGAGTGAGGAGGGAAGCTTGGGTCGTCCGTCTTCAGGGAGGCACCTCGGTCGGTCTCCTTTTCATCGGCCCTAGGGCTGGACAGACCAGGCTGGGAGCACTAGTTGCATTTCCAATGGGAGAGTTTTAAAAATTCAGGACAGGCTAACAGCAGACTGGAATAAAGGCTCAGAGCTGCTGGTTCCTGGGGTCCTTTGTAGCCGTTGACTTTCCGCATCCTTTGAATTCGTTTGATTTCTGGTTTTCCCAAAGACCAGATATCCAGTCAGAGCCCTAGAAAAGAGGGGCTGGCAGCCTTGAAACAGAGGGACATTTACCAGGAATGTCTTTGCTCTCCGTCGGCCCAGATCCACTCAGCACCCTCAGGGTGGCCCTAGGCCCAGTCTCCCCGTTCCGAGCCTGCCATTCCTGTCTTGGAGCTTCCAATGTTGTCTCTGACCTCTGGAAGACACTGCTGGGTCCTCCTGGGCCCTCAGACCTACTAAATTCCTTCAGGAAGGATAACAATAGTGCCCTTTAACACAAGGCATCGAACTTTCTCAAACACGTTTTCAGCGAGCGTGGACACTGCTTGGGGTAGTCAGCAGAGCAGACCTAATCACACTATACCCATTTTACAGATGAGGAGAACCAAGGCTGGCTTCAGGGTCCCAAAGCCAGTCAGACCTCGGCATTAGGTGCTAGGCTGTAGACCCGTACCTTTTGACTTGGAATTCTGTCCCTTCTTTTGCTGAACAGTTAACTTTTAACACCAGGGAAGAGAAGGAGAGACGGGACCACTGTCCTGCATTCTAATACTCCAGCTCTTTCAAAACTTCAGCTCTCACTTGGCTCAGGAAAATCAATGGGTTTGTTGGGTCTTTCTGGAAATTAATATGGCAATGTATGTCAAGATGCTCTAAAAGTATCGATTTGTTGAACGGGTGCGGTGGCTCACGCCTGTAATCCCAGCACTTTGGGAGGCCAAGGCAGGTGGATCACTTGAGGTCAGGAGTTCCAGACCAGCCTGGCCAATGCGGCAAAACCCCGTCTCTAGTAAACATACAAAAATTAGCCGGGCATGGTGGTGCGTGTCTATGATCCCAGCTACTCGGGAGGCAGAGGCAGGAGAATCCCTTGAATCTGGGAGATGGAGGTTGCAGTGAGCTGAGATCATGCCACTGCACTCCAGCCTGGGCAACAGAGCGAGACTCTGTCTCGCAAAAAAAGGAAAAAAAAATCAATTTGTTGACCTTGTAATTTTACTGAGAGGAATTGATCCTAAGGAAATAGAGATGCAGGCATATATACTTATGGCACTAGGCTAGGATGTTCATGGCAGTGCTATTTATACTAGGTGGATAACCTAAATGCTCAGCAACCGTGGTATATACTCTTGGTAGAGTACTATGCAGTCGTTAAAATTATATTTGTGAAGAATATTTGATGACTTTGGAAAATGCTCACAGTATGATGACAGAATACAAAGTTGCGAAGACTGTATAATCCCAATTTTGTTTAAAAAGTGATATGAATGCAAAAAATCCCAACGAAAACAAAACAAGCAAAAATGCTTGTAAAGTTTCCAAAAGGTTAATAATGATTTCCTCTGGATATGCGATCGTATGGGATTGTTTTTTTATTTTTTATATTTTGCTTTTTTCTAAAATTTCTACAATAAGCAATATTATTTTTGTAATCAGAAAGAAGCTTTCAGTGTTAGCAAGTATGAAGACTGTTTCTGAGCATTGGAAACAGATTCCTAATGAACCTATGAATATCGTTCAGCTCAACCTTCTCTGCAAGTGAGAATAATGAGGCAAAAGAATAATTGCCCAAATTAAAGTGGGAAAACTGGGCCCTGTCCTTCAGGGGGCAGGGGTTAGCTGGGGGCCAGAGGGTTGACTTGGCCCTTAATATTCACAGACTGTCTTCCTGAGAAGGCCTTGCTCCATCCTTGTCTCTATGGAAACACAGAGAGCTCCCCACTAATTGCATCTTTTTAATCTAAAATTTGGAATTGTGGGGATCTGAGGTCTCTGTGGCTAGGGTCTTCGGCAGAAGGCAGGAGTGGGGCCCCCATCCACACACCTACTCTAGGTGACCATGGGAATTTTGATCCCACTCCTACTAAGCCTGAAATGAAGGACAGAGTATGCCCATGAAGGCCACCAGTTGTTGGCTCTGTCCTTCACCCAGGGTCCACTGATCCTCCTTCTCAGCTTGACTTCTAGGGACTGCTTCCCATCTTTCTACTCTAATAGAGCCATCACCTTTATTCTGTAATTGTTTAGTGTTTATTCCCAATTCCCTTCTAAATGTGTCAGCATCGACCTATGAGTCTTCTCTGATGTATCAGTGGTCAGCCGGAAGTCCATTCTAATTGTGTTGGTGTTGACCTGATAGGCTGTGATGTTAACTGCCTACCCAGAGTTCTGCTGGGATGGCGTCTGTACTCAGCCAGAATTCATCTCTAATTCTTATCAGTGCTCATCCAGAAATTTGCTGGGAGTAGGGGTGGAGTGACTGTCTTGATTTTTTTTCTCTCCTTACATAATTGCAATCTCTTGATTCCTCACCATTTTAATTAAAACAACTGGAAGGGACCTGGTATAATAGGGATCCTGGGACTGATCAGAGATCTAAGATAGGTCTGGCTGTCAGACTGACATGACATGGGACCTCACCATCGCCTCTCGGGTGGTAGACTTTGGTCTTCTTCCTGGGAACACACTGATCCCACTGTGCTGCTGGTGGTTCCCACTGGGTTCTGAACAGCGTTGGTCTAGGAGTGTTCAGGGGAGAGGTCCACGGTGTAGCTCTGGGCTTAGCACCAACAGGCAGTGCCCGAGGAGCTCCTATGTGCCCAGCTCGGAGGTAAGACACCCCTGGCCTTTCCCAGGCTGGAGATCTACTTGAAAGGCATGAATGAGGGAGTGAATGGAATCAAGTGTTTGCTTGGTTGGACTGTCGAAACCCAGATGTGTGGGCAGAGGTCAGAGAAGGGGCATCGGGGAGGATCTGAGCTGGACATGGAGGGAACTGCAGGAACTGGATAGACAGCAAGGGATGCAGCAGAGTCCTAGGGTGTGGGAGAAGGAGGAAAGGCACAGACAGTAAAGGCTTGGAGGGGATCGAGCGTATATGTATATATTCCATGTAATAGAAAGTATATGTATATGGAAGTTACATATATATTTTCAATGAGGGGCACAAAGTAACTGGGGTAGCGTGCACAGGAGGTTCATGCCTCGTGGAGAAAAATACAAAGAATAAAGATTTTCCTCCTTGCCCAGGTCTTTCTGAGTGCTTGCCTGCTGAGTGCTAAGTGGTGAGGGACAGGCATCCTAGGAAAGCCCATGGAGGGCTATTCAGCCCCAGTGGTTACCCATAGATGGAGACTGGATGGGCTACCTCCCATTTTTTTTATTGTAAAATTTACATAACCTGGAATTTGTCATTTTAAAATGTATAATTCAGTGGCATTTAGTACATTTACAATACTGTAAAACCACCGCCTCTACCTAATTCCGGAATATTTTCATCATTTCAAAAGGAAACGCCATGCCCATTAAGCAGTCACTCCTGTTACCCTCTTGCCTGAATCCCTGGCAACCACGAATCTACTCTGTGTCTCTATGGACTTGCCTATTCCAGGCATTTCATATACATGGAAGGATACAATATTTGTCCTTTTGTGTCAAGCTTCGTTTACTTAGCATAATCTTTTCAAGGTTCATCCATGTTGTAGCGTGCACCGTTTTTCCTTTTGTGGTTGAATAATATTCTATTGTAAGAATATGCCACATTTCACTTCTCCATTCATCAGTTGAAAGACTTTAGGTTGTTTCTACCTTTTGGTTTTCACGAACAATGCTGCTATGAACATCTGTGTCTAAGTCTTTGTTTGAACACCTGTTTTGGGTTCTTCTGGGTATACACCTAAACGTACACCTCCCATCTTTCAAAAGGTGGTGCTTCTTGAATTGGATACTTCACAAAGTCACTGGTTGTGACAGCTGTAGGAAGGCCGTCCCCCTCCATGTCTGGCTGGGTGTGACGCCAGCGAGACACCTGTTGTTTTCACTCTCTTTTCTATGATGGCTGAGGCTCCTGGGGGGCTGAAGGAGGAGCTGTGAAGGTTGACTAAGGATCTTGATTCTTGTGGTGGGCCAGAGTGAGTCATGAGAACTTGTCTGTAGACCCTGAATTTCTTCACTACTCTTTGGGGATGAGAGCAGGGGTGGGGGAAGGCTTATCCATGCACAAGGTCTTAGCTATTTTTCTTTTCTTTTCTCCCTCTCTCCCTCCCTCCCTCTCTCCCTTCCTTCCTTCTTTTCTTCCTTCATTCCCTTCTTCCCTCCCTCCCTTCTTCCTTCCTTCCTTCCTCCCTCCTTCCCTCCCTCCCTTCCTGCCTGCCTGCCTGCCTTCCCTCCCTTCCTCGTTCCCTTCCTTCTTTTCTTTTCTTTTCTTTTGGCTGGAGTGCAGTGGTGTGATCTTGGCTCATTGAAGCCTTAACTTCCTGGGCTCAAGTGATCCTCCTGCCTCAGTCTCCCAAGTAGCTGGGACCGCAGGCACACACCACCAGTCCTGGCTTATTTTTGTAGGTTTTTTTAAAGAGATGGCATCTTGCCATGTTGCCCAGGATGGTCTGAAACTCCTGGGCTCAAGCAGACCTCCTGCCTTGGCCTCCCAAAGTGCTGGGGCCACTGTGCTCAGCCCCTAGCCATTTTTCTGCACTCACATTCTCACAGCTACTTCCCTGATCTGGGTCCACATCTCAGATATTGCCACAGCTGCCATCCTAATTGGCTTCTCTGCCTCTGGTCCCTCCTTTGATGCTGCCGGAGTGATTCTCCCAAAGTACTATCTTCATCATACCCTTCCCTGCTTCAATTACCATAATGGGATATTCAAGGTCTCCATTCTTTGGTCAACCCACAGATCTTCCCTCAGCTCTTGTCTGGGCTCCTTCCTTGGTTGTCATGACGCTTGCAGATTAGGTGAGCTCATCCAGCTCTCCGCCCCCGGGAATGCAGCAGACGGATCTGGGGGGTGCCTGGTGGCCTCCTCAGGGTGACTGGCTGCGTCAGCCCCATGTTGAACCCAGAGCACCCATCCTGCATGCCCTGTTGGTTTTCAGTTCAGTTTTACCTTTGAACCCTGTTATGTTAATTATCGTGATAATATTTACAATAGCTACCATGCACTGGGTGGTCACTATGTACCGAGTTCTTACATGTGGATTATTTCCATTAATACCCTCCCAACAACCTATGGAAGGAGGTAGCATTGTCACTGTTTTACAGATGGGGGAAAAGAGGCTCAGAGAGGTTAAGTAACTTATCCCAGTCCACACAGAAGCTGATGGGGCTGGGGTTCAAAGCCAGGGCTCTCAGACTTCAGAGTTTATTACTGTGATTGCTGCATTATCCTGCCCCTGTAGCATTTAGTCTTGGGTGGGCTCTATCTTTCATTGTGGGAGAGAGATGGGGGAGTAATTTTTGAGTCTCTGGACAGAGCCCCAGGGCTGGGAAAGGGCACACCATGGGGTTCTTGATGCTTTCTCCCTTGGCTAACCATGGGATCAGGAGGGCTGTGCTAGTCTGGAATTCCCAGCCTCCTCTCCTTATGCTTTCTTCAGGGTTTTAGACAGTAGATCCATCAGACACTTTGGAGGAAGCTTACAGTTCTTTGGGGCCAGTGTTTCTCAGAGTGAGGTTTTTCTACTGCCTGCATCAGCATTAGCTGGAAGCATGTCTACCCTGCAGGTTCCCAGCCCCCAGCTCAGACCCGCTGACTCAGAATACATTGGGGATGGGGCCCTCAAACCTGCGTGTTTAACAAGATCTTCAAGATCTGAGAACTGTTGTGACTCTGGGACCTCAGAACAGTCCTACTCTGGCAAGGTTGGAGGAGGTGGGACTAGGCTTCTCAGAGGAGGAGAGCCCAGAGTTGGATGGGGGAGATTTGGAGGGGAGCTAGAAGGGCTGGCAGCAAAGGCACAGAGGCAGAGAAACACAGGGTGTGTTCAGGGACGGTGAGCAGTCCTCTTGCTTGGATGTGGGGTCCCCAGTGGGGACGTTAACAGGTCAATCTTTGAAGGTAGGCTGGGGTCATATCTTGGAAGGCCTACGATATTAGGACGAGGAAGTTAGATTTTATCCTGTAGACATTGAGAGCCATGGACGGCTTTTGAGCAAGATGCATGTAGTGATTTTATTTCAACAACACCAACGGTGGTAGAAGGCAGGCTGGAGAGAGGAGGGGATGAGGCATCTGGAGCTGCTGAGAGGTTCACAGAGGCTGTCAGTCTTCTGTCCTAGGCCAAACTGAAAGGACTGGGCGTGACAGCCAAGCCGACCTGCTCATCTGGGGTTCCCATGGGCAAGTCTGGAAGCATTCCCAACCCACAGCTATGGGCAGTAGGACTATTGCTCACAGGCAGAAAAAAGAAAAAACCAGCAATGAAAGGGTTTTTAAGAAGCCCAAGTTCTGATGCTAGGAGTATTAATGTAAATAAATTCATTTAATCTCCCCAAAAGGAGAGGTAAGTATTATTCCCATTTTATTATTTATTATTATTATGATTTTGAGATGGAGTTTTGCTCTTGTCACCCAGGCTGGAGTGCAATGGCACGATCTCGACTCACTGCAACCTCTGCCTCCCGGGTTCAAGTGATTCTCCTGCCCCAGCCTCCTGAGTAGCTGGAATTACAGGCACCCGCCACCAAAGTCCAGCTAATTTTTGTATTGTTAGTAGAGACAGGGTTTCACCATGTTGGCCAGGCTGGTCTTAAACTCCTGACCTCAGGAGATCCGCCCGTCTCGGCCTCCCAAAGTGCTGGGATTACAGGTGTGAGCCACCACGCCTGGCCATTATTTATTTATTGTAGCGATAGAGTCTCTCTATGTTACCTAGGCTAGATTCGAACTCCTGGGCTCAAGCGATCCTTCTGATTCAGCCTCCTGGGACTGCAGGTGCACACCACTGTGCCAAGCTCTTATTGTTCCCATTTTATACATGAGAAAGCCAAGACTAAAGGATGTGAAGAGTGCTGCCCAGAAACACTGAGCTAGGAAAGAGCAGGGCTGGGATTTCTACCCAGGACACCGAAGGTGATCAGGGAGGAAACTGATCTTGGGGGAGAATTTCTCCACATTAGGACTCTTTTCCTGGGCCCTCTGGGATGGTGTCTTAGTCTGCTTGTTCTGCCATAACAAAATACTACAGACTGGATGGCTTAAGCAATGGAAATGCATTGTCTTAGAGTCCTGGAGGCTGGAAGTCTGAGATCTAGGTGGCAGCACGGTTAGGTTCCATTGAGGGCCCTCTTCCTGGCTTTCAGGTGGCTCCTTCTTGCTGTGACCTCACATGGCCTGTTCTTGGCGTATGGAGCGAGAGTGATCTTTCTCTCTTCCTCTTATTATAAAGCCACTAATCCTATCAGATCAGGACCTCACCTCTCTGACCTTATTTAACCTTAATTACCTCCTAAAGGCCCTATCTCCAAATATAGTCATATTGCGTATTAGGGTTTCAATATATTAATATTGAGGGGTGGGTAAAATTCAGTCCATAGCAGATGGCATGTGCTCGCTTCCAAGGTGTGCACAGTGAGGCACAGGCATTGGTTCTAAATCACAGAGCCCAAGATGGAGGCAGGATGAGCAAAAGCGGTAAGAGAAGGAAGAGTGAGGGTAGGAAGGAGGGTGGGAGCTAGGCACTGCCCAGGGCATGCTAGGGCTGCCTGTTTCCTGTTAGTTTGTGCCTGTCTCGTTCCTGGACCTGCACACCCAGGGGCTAGAGCTGAGGGGCTGCTTCACGCTGAGCCGGTTGCTTTGGCAACCCTGGGCAGGATGCAAGTGGTCTCCTT